ACACACACACACACAAACAGGGGCTCGGGGATGGACACACACACACAGAGCCTTGGGGGGACACACGCGCACACACCCACACAGGGTGTCTCCAAAGGGCACCCTTGTGGCACTGTGGCTCCAAGCGGCAATACATGGCCATAGAATCCCAGAGCTTCAGGCCAGAAGGGACCATCGGACCATCTCGCTTGACCTGTGTGGTCACTGCCACTGACCCAGCGACTTCAGCAGGACTGAAGAGACGACACCGTGGTGGCCACAGTGCGCGACGCCTCAGCCATGGCAGGGAACTGATTAGGAGAGACCCGCCCAGAGGGACCCCGCAGGTGCCCCATGCAGCAGAGGTAGGTGAACCCCCCACCCCCCAAAGTCCCTGCCAATCTGACCTGGGGGAAATTCCTTCCCCACCCCAGATCCGGCAACCCTGAGCACCTGAGCCAGACCCACAGCCCGGCTCTGTCCCCTCTCGGAGCACCGACCCACACAACTGGTGCCTGTCTGCCTATGCTGGAGCTCTGATCCCTTCAGGGCTGATTTGTCTCCTAGAGGCCATAGGCGCAGCCTTCTGCTCGCGCCGGTGGGTGCTCGACCCCCCCCGCCCCAACTCCACCCCTGCCCCACCCCATTCCAACCCCTTCCCCAAAGTCTCCGCCCCCTCCCTGCCCTTATTCCGATTCCTTCCCCAAATCCCCGCCCTGGCCCCTCCTCCTCCCCCTCCCTCCCAGAGCTTGCTACGCTGCCAAACAACTGTTTGGCGGTGGCAAGTGCTGAGAGGTAGGCGGAGGAGCGGGGACGCGGTGCGTTCTGGGGAGGAGGTGGAGGCGGGACAGGGGCAGCTTGGCTGCCGGTGGGTGCAGAGCACCCACTAATTTTTCCCATGGGTGTTCCAGGGCTGGAGCATCCACGGAGTCGGCGCCTATGCTAGAGGCCCCACCTGATGGACATGGGCTACTTCCCTCCTAAATTGGGACCAGCCTTGAATCTCAGGAGAGATGCCCCCACGGATCTCACTCTCACACGTAAGAACGGCCAGACTGGGTCAGACCAAAGGTGCATCTAGCCCAGTATCCTGTCCTCTGACAGTGGCCAATGCCAGGTGCCCCAGAGGGAATGAACAGAACAGGGAATCATCAAGTGATCCATCCCCTGTCGCCCATTCCCAGCTTCTGACAAACAGAGGCTAGGGACACCATCCCTGCCCGTCCTGGCTAATAGCCATTGATGGACCTATCCTCCGTGAACTTATCTAGTTCTTTTTTGAACCCTGATATAGTCTTGGCCTTCACAACATCCTCTGGCAAGGAGTTCCACAGGTTGACTGTGCGTTGTGTGAAAAAATACTTCCTTTTGTTTGTTTTAAACCTGTGGCCTATTAATTTCATTTATGAGAAGGAGTAAATAACATTTCCTTATTTACTTTCTCCACAGCAGTCATGATTTTATAGACCTCTAGCATATCCCCCTTAGTCATCTCTTTTCCAAGCTGAAAAGTCCCAGTCTTATTAATCTCTCCTCATACGGCAGCCATTCCATCCCCCTAATCATTTTTGTTGCCCTTTTCTGAACCTTTTCCAAATCCAATATATCTTTTTTGAGACGGGGCGACCACATCTGCACGCAGTATTCAAGATGTGGACATACCATGGATTTATATAGAGGCAATATGATATTTTCTGTCTTATTATCTGTCCCTTTCTTAATGATTCCCAACATTCTGTTCGCTTTTTTGACTGCCACTGCACATTGAGTGGATGTTTTCAGAGAACTATCCACAGTGACTCCAAGATCTCTTTCTTGAGTGGTAACAGATAATTTAGACCCCATCATTTCATATGTATAGTTGGGATTATGTTTTCCAATGTGCATTACTTTGCATTTATCAACATTGAATTTCATCTGCCATTTTGTTGCCCAATCACCCAGTTTTGAGAGATCCCTTTGTAGCTCTTCGCAGTCTGCCTGGGACTTAACTATCTTGAGTAGTTTTGTATCATCTTCAAATTTGGCCACCTCACTGTTTACCCCTTTTTCCAGATCATTTATGAATATGTTGAATAGGACTGGGCCCAGTACAGACCCCTGGGGGGCACCTCTATTTACCTCTCTCCATTGTGAAAACTGACCATTTATTCCTACCCTTTGTTTCCTGTCTTTTAACCAGTTTCCAATCCATGAGAGGACCTTCCCTCTTATCCCATGACAGCTTCCTTTGCTTAAGAGCCTTTGGTGAAGGACCTTGTCAAAGGCTTTCTGAAAGTCTAAGTACACTATATCCACTGGATCCCCCTTGTCCACATGCTTGTTGACCCCTCTCAAAGTATTCTAGTAGATTGGTGAGGCATGATTTCCCTTTACAAAAACCATGTTGACTCTTCCCCAACAAATTATGTTCATCTCTGTGTCTGACAATATTGTTCTTTATGTCTCACACACTCCCCAGCAGATCGGGAGTATCGGGGGCAGAAGGGTATCAGCCCTTCTCAGCTTGAGTCCCTAGAGACCTGCCTGTGGGAGGAAGGCCCATAATCTTTGTCTCTCCCCTTGAGCCACAGCTCTGGTGAGGCCCAAAACAATCAGGAGCTGGTGCGGACCGGGAGGAAGAGGAGGGGCACGAAGCTACGCAGCCTCTGTGAGGTAGATAGAAGGGTTGGGGGGATTCTTGGGGAGCTGCACAAACCGAGCTGGTCTTGTAAGGTTTTTTGGTTGGTGGGTTGCTTGCACCAGGGTGTTACTGCAGAGCGACCCTGGCTCTGAACTCTGGAATCGAAAGCACAACATGCATGGAACTACTGAGACTTTTCAGATGCAATGGAGCAGGGACGCAGGGCAGATCCATCCAACCTTGCAGGGTCCATTTAACACTGAACTCCAGCCACCCCATTGGCTGGGGCCTGGCCAGGGACGGATACCACCTCTGCAGAGCTACACATCTGGGGAGGAGCTATGGATTGGGCTGGGCTTGGGGGCTGAGTTTGTGATGGCATTTGCCTGCCCCCACATAAGCGCTCAGACCCCAACAATAAGGAGATTTTGAAGACAGTCTTTTGGAAAAGAGCTCAAAGCACATTTCAAAGACAGGTCAATACCATTATCCTCACTATCCACTAAGCCAGAGGTTTACAAACTGTGGGGCGTGGAGGGATGTTCGGGGGGGGGCGGAGCGAGCGGTGACGCCAGGTGCTTTGGGGAGGAAGCACCATCTCCACCCCGACTCACCTCACCGGGCCACCAAGCCTGTGGGTCAGTGTCAACAACCACCGATTTCCACTCCTGGCAGCCTCCACGCCCAGAGACCATCGCACGCGCCTTTCCCCATCCTGAAAGCCCGAGGGGGGAGGGGCAGGTATTGTGTCTATTTTTGTTTGGGTTGGGGGGTGGGGGGGCGCAACCAAAAATTGTAACTCAAAGGGGGGGAGGGGAAGGCTCAGCTCAAAAAGTTTGAAAACCGCTGCACTAAGAAAGTCCCACTTTCCCCAGTGCCTACGCTCGGGGTGGATCGAGCTCTTCCCCATGGCACCTACGCTCGGGGTGGATCGAGCTCTTCCCCATGGCACCTACGCTGGGGGCAGATTGAGCTCTTCCCCACGGCGCTTACGCTGGGGCTGGATCGAGCTCTGCCCCACGGCGCTTACGCTGGGGGCAGATCGAGCTCTTCCTCACGGCACCTACGCTGGGGGCAGATGGAGCTCTGTCCCACGGCACCTACGCTGGGAGCGGATTGAGCTCTGCCCCACGGCACCTAGGCTGGGGGCGGATCGAGCTCTGCCCCGGGGCACCCCCCATCCGGTGCCTACCTTGCACGACGATGTTGTTGATGGGTGGTGTGAAGGTGGCTGGGATATCCACTGTGGTGTGCTCCGGCTTCTTGGCAGCCTTAGCTGGGTTGTTCTGGGTGCTGGGGTTGGTAACTATAAGGCTGTTCTCGGGGGTTTTCTGGGGCCCGGGCTGGGGCGGGTTGCTGGGTGCCTGGCGGTTGGCAGCATTCTGGGAGTTGGGGGGCGGCTGGCCCAGGGTGCCAGGAAGGTTGTGGGATGCCCGGGTGGCCGTGCAGTTGGCATGGTGGCCCACCTTGGCTGGGCTCTGGAGGTGGCTGGCATTGTGGGGGGTTGAGGGCTCCGTGGTGGCTAGTTTGTTGTTCTTCATGTTGTCTATGTCCTCCGCCACCTGTGGCTCATGGCGCCCCATGTCCTGCTGGATCGGCCGCGTGGTGGAGAGGTTCGGGCCGGGCACTGGGCTGGGGCCTTGGTTCTCTCTACGGCAGCAACCCAAAGGAAAAGACCCAGATCAGAGTCAGGGAGTAGGAGGCCTCATCTCCCTTCTGAACAACCTGAACAGTCTGCTGCTCTGGCCCCACTAACTGCTGGCTCAGATGATCGGGGAATGGGACATGGGACCTTCCCCTCTAGGGGCAACAGCTCCGATTCGGCCCCAGGGTGGTGGTGGGGGACTGGCTGGCTAAGTGGGCAGTGCTGGTCAACGACTGACAATCCCCTCCATCTGGGATGGCTGTTCGCTGGCCCGTATGGAACCAGTTCTTGGGTCTCAGCCCAGTTCCCAGAGGGACAAGTGTCGGGCGGATGTGGCCAAGCAGACCTTGGTGCCTGTCTGAAATGCTCCCATCAGCAGAGAGGGGAAGGCGAAGGGCCTCCGGCTCGATAGCTGATACATTCCCCGTTGGCTCCACTCCTTGCTTCCCTTTTCCCAGCCCCTTGCTCCTTCCTTGGCCCCGTTCTCCAGCCCCAGCCCTGTGCCCACTGCTGGCTGAGCGAGGGCCCTGCACTCTGAAGATGGGGGGGCCTGTCTCTGAAACAACCCCCCACCCCGATCTGGCTCCCCATTTTCCCCACAGCACCCCTCCGCCATGGTACAAAGCGAGGAGATCGGGATGCAGAGTTCCCAATTCCCCCAGCCCCATCCCCCCCAGCCTCATTGATCCCTGGCAGCTGTCGTGCCCGGGGGCCCTTCCACCCCACCGCCCGGGTGCCCCCACTCACTTCCTGCGCCGGTGACGCCTCTCCCTGTCATCCCTCTTGCTGTCGGTGTCGTAGGTGGACTGCGCGGCGTGCCGGTGGCGCCGGCGTCTCTCCCCGTCGGGCTGCTCACCCTCCACGTCCCCGCGGGAGGGCCGGCTCCCTTCCCGGTGCCGCAGTCGCCGCTCCACCTTGCTGCCCTCGTCCCGGCCCCCGCCGCCCTCCTCTCCCATCCGGCGGTGGGCCCGCTGCCGCCGATGATCCCGCTCGCCCTCGGCCATCCGGGGCGACCCGCTGCGGCTCTCTTTGCTGCCCCCTTGCCGGTGCTGGTGCCTGCGGTGGGGGTCGACAGCTTTGATCCGCTCCGAGGCGCTGTCGCGGTAGCCCTGCTCCCGGCTGCTCTCGTAGCCCTGGCTGGGATAGTCCAGCTCCCGGTAGGTGCCGTCCTGGTTCAGATTGGTCTCCTTGCTCCCGCTGCGCTGCCGTCGGGCCTCAAGCCCCTCTGCATCAGGCTGCTCGTAGCTGCGGGAGCTGCTGAATTCCCGCGAGCGCTCGTGGTAGCGGGCCTGCTTGCGCAGGAAATCCTCAGCCCGCTGCTGGCTGAAGCGCTGCTCCAGAGAGGGCTCGTTGGGCCGGGTCTTGTTGGTGTTGTTGTTGCGGTTCTCCTGAGGGTCAACCACCAGGGGCCGGTCCAGGTGGGTCTTGATGTCAGGCCGCATGGCCCGGGCGTAGGTCACCTTCCACGGGTCCTCGGGGTCCATCTCATTGTACAGGGCTTCCCGGCTCGCCAGCAGATTGTGCTTCCGCATCTCACTCGTTCTCTGCTCCCAGACAGACTTGGAGGATTTTTGGTTCTTCTGCTGCTCTTTCCTGAAGCCGAAACAGGGACAGATTCTTGAAACACCTTTAGAATTGAGCTGCTTTTCCTCCCCAACCAC